TAAATTTATACATATATTTTTATATTACCATATAATTATTGTTTATTAACATGTCCTGATGTAAAAAGCCGTTTGGCGTATATTTAAAATAATAATTAAATAAAATGTAACTGAAAAAATAATTTTACAAAATTTTATCTAAATTGAAATTAAGTAAACAACAATTTGAAAAACTAAAATAAATTAAAAAATTTAACATAAATAGTATAATTTATCACACAATTTAATTATATTTTATTCATTGTGCAAATATCTTCAATTCAAGATTAGTAGGTAGAAACAATATTCTACATTATAAGTATAAAAGAATTTCTTAGCCCAATAATAACGATGATTATAAAATGTTATCCGCGTATTGTATGTATAACGAAGTGATTTCCGGTTGCCCGCGTCCAAAACCTGTTGTTTAGCTATCATTATTATTTTTATTACTATTTTTTTACTCTTGAATAAGTTCCAAGTTTTTGTGCATAACTTACTCGATTGTCATGAAGACAACAAAAAGTAAAGATATTGTATACCCGGTCCAAGTTTTCAATCCATTTTCTCAGCAATCACCCATTCCTATCCGTGTGCATATACTTAAATAAAAAATGTACATTGATGTGCACGTGTATCAATCCTATCCGGTGCATAATAAAAACTGGCCTCTTCTATTTGTTATTAGGTTTTATATTATTTTCGTTATGAATTTATTAAGGTACTAAACATGTGACTGTACATACGTTTAGTAAAACACTATTGAAAAGTATTCTAATATAGTTTTTCTAATTGACAAATAACAGCATTAAAACAATTTAGCTATGATAACTTGAAGTACTACCAGGAATATGTGTTTTTATAAACCTAGTTTTAAAAATTCAATACTTAGCATTTCATTCATTATTTTTATTTTAAATCTGGAAGTACATAATCCTGTTTTATCAGAATTTATTGGGTAGGAGAATGGGGGCTAATTGAAAATGGATCTTAAAGAAATATCTAATTGTAATTATGAAATCATATTTTAACAAAACAGGTGATCGCCACTGTTGTTCAAGAATGTAGCGAGTAGTGCAATAAAAAATTTACACTATAGATATATATAAATAATTTTAAATGTATAAACTGTATTTAATTTCATTTTAACCATTAGAAAAGAACGTTTCTTTTTGTTGGTCTTGACTTTCGAGACAGTGGCTTAAGAGGAGACGAAAAGAGATTATTGAACATCTATGTCTTCAATAATATAAACCTGTTTTATTGCGTTCATGAGTATAATGACTGCAACGTGTACGCGCACATATATTTGTTACCCATCTGTTGTACTGTAGTGCAGCCGACAATTTCGGGTTTCCTTGCGTGCTCGATATTGTGAAATCGATAAAACGTTTAAACGACTAGTTTAGACAAAAAACCAAGTTGCCTTTCCACTCTTAAAATCACAGTTTGGCTACGATAATGCGTTTGGAACCGCCTCTATTTCCGCCGCCCAATTTCAATCTCTCCAAGTACAATAATTTTATACTATCCTATGAATTCATTTAATAGTCTTACATACTTCGAAAAGCAATCGTAAATCATAGGTTTTATAACTACAATATAAATCTACAGCATAAGTTAAACATTTATGCTACATATGTGAAACAATAAAGACAGAAATCAGTGGTGTTCAAACAGGAGCGCAAGAAAGACGCATAGACCATCTTGTTGCAAAGAACGTAGACCTAAAATAATTTAATTTATTTAATGTATATTCTAAATGAACAAGGTATAAAGCACACAAACATTTTGTATCCACATGGATAGTTATTTTAATAATTTTAGAAATTAAACAATTAAAACAACTTGAGTCAATATTATAAATAGTTATTTAAAAAAAAATTGTCACTTTTAAAATAAACTATTCAAACAATTTAAAAGATACATATGCGTATCGAATCGTATGGATGCGAATATAACAAGATACTTTATTATTTTGTATTATTATTTATTGTGTAAACGATATTTCGTTTAACAATTAATCAAAGTTTTAGAATGGTTAATTAGGGTAATTTTTGTTTTAATAATACAACATATTAATTACTTTAATTTATTCTTATAATAGTTGTAATCGTATATTTTAAAACGAACTTTATTAGGCTACCCAGTAGTATTTTTTAATATAACATAATACTATATTTCAAGATAAAAGTGTAATTTCCGTAAATTAATTTATTAAGTACAAATTATTTTAATATCGACAAAAAGTTGAGTTAACAAGTTAATGAATTATAGCTTTACTGAACATATAGTATATTAATAAAAAGGAGTACACTCATTAACCGCGTAAACCAAGTTCGGATCCCAACCCCGAATTTTGGATAGCTTATTACTTGGTGGCTATTGGTCCAAGAGTCACCAAACTTACAGTGGCAATTTTAGTTTAAGTCCCTTAAGTTGTACGCTATTACTAGAAGAGCGCAAAATCCCTTCCCAATGATTTTGCTCATTTTTTACCGATCCTTCCGAAACTAAGTACACCTTAATTGGGTGTAACTTTAATTTTTATAATGGCAATACACATAATTAATTAGCTTATTTGTTAAATAATGATCTAATTAAGAAAATGACTGGTCAATAATAACTTTTGGATCACTACTTTAGAAGTTAGTAATAATTTAAAATAATGATGAAGAGTGAAGAGTGTGTTGCTGTTTTTATAGACATTTTCAACCATACTCTTCCTCCCGCCAAGGAATTAATATGTCAATAACTTCAAAAATACTGGTCTAAAAGTTATTATTAACCAGTAATTTTAGTTTCGATGCGAAGCTTGAAGGTATTGGTTTTACTATGATGTGTTTTTTTATTTTATGTCTGTTGCCAATTTTTCTCAGCTCTCACAGGACCGATTTCTTTCAAAAATACGTCAAAAGATCACAAATCGTATCTAGTTGGAGACATTACCCTTAAAAATTAAAAAAAATTTCCTCGTTTCCCGAAAAAAGGGAAATATCCAAAAAGATTATAAATTTATAATTCAGTAAATTTTGTCATTTTTTTTTTCTTAAAATTCGCCTAACTTTTTTAAAAATGACCCAATCAATATAATTTTTTTTTTATAGATACCTTAGATATTTACCTATCATTTAATATCATTTTTTTGAAAATCTATCACTTAACCTGCTCATTGTGGGGGATTTAAAATAGCAACTTTTTTACAAAAACTAACTTTTTCAACTTAATTTTTGAAAATGTTCCGGAAATACTGCGTCCTTTAAATATATATAAAATTAAAGCTTATTTTATGTACAATAAAATGAAGAAAAAAAATTTGTCCCGACGACCTATCTACGATGTGCAAATTGCTGTCAAAATTTAAAAAAAAATGTAATATTTGCGATAAAAATCACCTTCTATGGATATGTTTTTTGTACTTAAAACTGCCATAACTTTTTCAAAATTAACAAATCAAAATAATATTTTTTTATATTGAAACCTTAGGTAATTTCCTTTCGTTTGATATCATTTTTTTTTGAAAATCTAACACTTATTCTGCTCACAAGGGGGATTTAAAATAGCAACTTTTTTACAAAAACTAACTTTTTCAACTTAATTTTTGAAAATGTTCCGAAAATACTGCGTCCTTTAAACATATAT